ATCGTTCCCTTCTTTATCCTTTACCTTCTTAGGGTTCCAGGATCCTTTTGGTTTCCCTTTAAACTTTCCCTGAGTCACAGCCAGAGCCTCTCCAGGAGCTGCCGGTTCAGCCTTCCGCTTCTGTTTCCGACTGGTGTTTCCTTTTTCCGACTGACTCGGCTTGTGCTTGCCGCTTCGAAGTCGGTCTTCTTCTTCGCCGTTGGCGTACTTGGTAGCAATCTCCATCATCCGACTCAAGGTCATGTCACCGGTTCGACCAAACTTCAAACTCAATTCTCTGTTCTTGACACCATCTTTAAAGGCGCAGACTGCCTGATGATCAGACACATTCTCCACAGTATGGTGCAAAGTGATCCATCTCTGAATATACTCTCTGAGAGTCTCATTGGTCTTCTGCACACAGACTTGCAACTCTGTCAGTCCAGCTGGTCGCTTGCAAGTTCCTTCAAACGTTCTGATGAACACTCGGGACAGATCTTCCCAAGTGTAAATGCTGCTAGGAGGTAATTGAGTCAACCATGCCCTGGCAGAACCTTCCAGCATGAGAGGCAAATGCTTCATGGCCACCTCATCGTTCCCACCACCAATCTGAACTGCCACTCGGTAGTCCTCAAGCCAAGTTTCAAGCTTAGACTCACTAGTGAACTTGCTGACTCCTGTTGCCAACCTGAAATTGGGAGGGATAACTGCGGCTCTGGTAGCTCTGCTGAAACATTCAGGACCAGAAACATGCACTCGACTACTTGTGGGCGCATCTCTGTCGAGTCCACCTCGATGGGCTCTGTTCCGGTCAACCAAACCTTGCACGATAATGGATCGCGCGTCGAAGCCTGGTTCTCTGGGGTCGACTAGAACTCTTCGCCCCGCACTGAGCTGACGTCTGTCATCTTGCTGCCGAGGAGCGTAAGACCCATCTCTCGGAGGGGAATTGGGTACTCGACGCCTATCATCTCGGTCGAGTCGGTCACCATGTTGGTCTCGTCGATTCTCACGCCCTTCACGCCGCGGAGGCGATCTGGGGCTGTGAGCCGACTGAACCGTATTCGCAGCGACGGATCGACTGTGAATTCTGTTGCGCGACTGCGACACGGCCGAATTCTGATCTCCTGCTGCCCGGAGCAGATCCCTGATCTGCATCAAGCCTCTGCCAGCTTCCGACTGAGAGGGCTGGATGGACTCTGCTATACGGGTCGCAGCTGCTAAATTCTGGATTGGGGTTCGATATACCTGAGTCGGCGGGAAGAGTTGACGTCGACTGGTGTCGGGAACTCGTTGCCGCGCACGCTCGTCGAGTGCTCGCTGAAGATTCTCCAGTCGAGTGCGTTCGGCCAAATTGGCCAAACGTGCCTCCTCCAAGGCGCGAGCCTCGGGGGTTTCTCCTGCGATGGGAGTACGCAGGACATCCACATTCCTGCGGCGAAGTTCTTCTCTTTGCAGAGAGTCGAGTGGCTCGGGCTGGTACTCTTCGTGATCTCGTGCGGGGTCACCTCCGTTGCCTGCTCCACCATCACGGTCGAAGCCAGGGGGACTGCGGGGCCCGTCGACCATCAGGATTTCCGCCGCTGGATCACTGCTATCGCACTCGGATGCGGTCTCTACGGAGCCAGTCGACAGATCGAACGGGCCGTAGAGAGATTCGTCGGGCTCGATTGCTGCAACTTGGGTGGTGGCCATCTGGCGAGCCACCGCGTGCCTCACCCACCGCTGAATCCTCGACCGACCCGAGCGCTTGCGCTGGCGGGAGACCAGGAAGGTGGTCGATGGGGATGTCGACCGATACGGGGTCGACGGTTGCCGCAGCAGAACGCCGCGGACACATGCGCGAAAATGCATCGCACCGCGGACGGGGAGCGCATCAACGTCGAGTGGAGCCTCCTGGAGCCAGGCGGAGTCGTCGGCGATGAAGATGAGAGCGCCGAGACGGATCTCTCGACCCTCGACCAAAACTCCAGCGGCCACCATGATGAAAGTACTCGGAAGAATCGCAACTTCCCCACAAAATCGCTAAAACACCTGCCCCACGGTGGGCGCCAACTGTCGTGGTTCTAAGCCTGACAGTAGAGTGGGGGGTAGGTATGGAGAGGCAAGGTCCTAGCTATGGAGAGGTTGTAAACACAAGGGATGTACGAGTTCAGGCCCTTCTCGGAAGAAGTAAAAGCCCTACGTCTCGGAGCCCAGAGGCGGTCGAGTGGATTATGTGTATATGAGTTACAAGGTGCCGAACCCTACTACCTGTGGAGGGGGGTGGCTTATATAGAGTGCGCCAGGACCCCTGCCAGCCCACGTAGGAGAGGGTTTAAGGTGAGTTAAGTCTGGGGCGTTACTGGTAACGCCCCACATAAAGTGTCTTTACTATCATAAAGTCTACTTAATTACAGGTCGTTGCAGTGCAGAGTGCCTCTTGACCTTCTGGTGGTCGAGTGAGTCTTCGTGGTCGAGTCCTTCAAGTCAGTCGAGTGAGTCCCTCGTTGGTCGACTGGAAGGTGACCTCTTCTAAGGGTGTCTTTGGGCAGGGTACTTAGATCAGGTCTGTGACCCTACCCTAGGTACATGACCCCATCAGCTACCGAAGCGCCGGCGAGCTCACTCGTTGAGCCGGCCGCCGACGCGCACCACATGTTCGACGAAATGCCCCCAAGGTGAAAAAATTGCCAAGTATTTTTTTCTTCTTATTTGTTCAATGCATCATCATTTTACATATAGATAGCTTATTTGCATTGTTCAAAAAAATTGTAGTCTCAACGATGATGCATACATGTCCACTATGGGTGTTGGGTCCAACAATTCGCATTGGTCTCAAACCAATGACATCCATTTCGAAGACCATGAGTTTGAGGTGGACGAGGAGGGTGAGGGAATTGTCGAGGCGCCGAGAGGAAGAGCGGGCAATTACTCCACCACCGATGACAAGTTACTATGCTACACTTATTTGCATGTGTCGAAGGATCCATCCATTGGAGGTGATCAAAGTAGAGACGCGTATTGGGGGCGAATGATAGAACACTTTAATGCTCACAACAAGAGCGGAATTTACCGCTCCGAGAGATCACTTCGGTCCCGATGGTCGACAATCAACTCGGATTGTCAAAAGTGGGCGGCCGCGCAAAAGTCGGTGGACAAGATTAACCCAAGTGGCACAAATGAGGATGATCGAGTAAGTGGCATCTCATATATGTTCATCATACTTGTTTTTGGTGACCGAAGTGCTAACTTGTTTTGTTTTTCTTGTAGTACAACATTGCACAAAACTTGTTCAAACAAGAGATAAGGACAACCAAGAAGGGGAAGATCAAGAAAGGCAGGATCTTTACCTTGCCTCATTGCTATGAAGTGTTAAAGGATGATGAGAAATGGAAGAAGCGTGATGGTTTGGAGGATTTGCATTTGAGCAACAAACGGAAGCGAGCAATTGAGATGAATGATGATGATGAGGAGGATGATGCATCAAGTGATGACGGCAAGAGAAGCCCCACACCCAACTCGGTTTCATACTCGAAGCCAAAACGACCGGATGGGTGCAAGAAAGACAAAACCGAAAAGAAGAAGAAGAAAGGAGATGATGAGCTCAAAAATGCTATGGAAGCTATTGTGAAGGCAAGGGTCGAAGCGAATGAGGTGAGGAAAATGGCAAGGAACCAAGATGCCGTGGCCGAGGAGAGGAGGTTGGCGGCCGAGGAGAGAAGGATGGCGGCCGAGGAGAGAAAGGTGACTTTGGAGGAGAGGAAAGTGAGCAACGAGGAGCGAGCTAAGTTGTTGGAATGGGAGAAGCACTTGTTCTTCATGGACACATCTAACCTCAATGCGGCGCAAAAGGAGTATGTCAATCTTGCCCAACAAGAAGTCTTGATCCGAAAAAGAGCCTTGGTTCGTGCAATGGGTGGCGATGGCCTCGGCGCCATGGGAGGCATGGGTGGCTTCGGCGCCATGGGAGGCGGTGGCCTCGGCGCCATGGGAGGCATGGGTGGCCTCGGCGCCATGGGAGGCGGTGGCCTCGGCACCATGGGAGGCATTGGTGGCTTTGGAGGCATGGGAGACATGGGTGCACCTCCGGCCGCCATGGGAGGCATGGGTGGCTTTGGAGCACCCTCCGACGCTATGGCCGCCATGGGAGGCATGGGTGCACCTCCGGCCGCCATGGGAGGCATGAGTGGCTTTGGAGCACCCTCCGATGCTATGGCCGCCATGGGAGGCATGAGTTTTGCTTCTCTCATGGGAGGCATGGGTGCACCTCCGGCCGCCATGGCTTCTCACACACATTCCCATGAAGATGCCGTTGAAGATCTTGCCAACACCGTCGGAGCTTCACATGATGCGGTGCGTGATGCGGTGCGTGATGAGGATAGGGAGGAAGGTTCATCTTCGGAGGCGGAAGAGTCGTCTTCGGAAGATGAGGACGAAGACGAAGAAGAGGAAGATGAAGATGAAGCTTGATGTGTCTTTCATGTCTTGAACTTTTAGTTTGCATTTGAACTTGGTTGGATGAACTTGTGGGCATGATTTTGATGAATTTGTGGGCATGAACTTTTATTCATCAACTTGTTTGTGTCAAATTTTACATGTTCATTTTTGTCCAAAATATCCATATATGCAAAACGCCCGGCGAGTCGCGCGCGCTGTATTTTTGCGCTCTGCTGGAACGGCGCGCGCGCGCTGCATTATGGCGCGGCTGCTGGAGCCAGCGCAGGCGGGCGCGCAAAACCAGCCGCAGCGCGCGCGCTAAAAGGTTTTTTGCGCGCGGCGCTATAGCGCGGCTGTTGGAGATGCTCTAAAATCTTAGGCTTTTCCACTTTTCTAATCGAGTTTTTAGTTTTTTAATAAAGTTTATAAGGGGTGGACGTGGACCCATGCTCACCATTGTATTTTCGACTTCGGTACGTCATTTTCTTTGTTCTTGGAGCTGATGTTGTTTGGTTGTCGCCACCTGCTATTTTGCAGCATGGTCGCGTGTATCGATCAGGGTGACCACTACCCGTTCCCATCTTGAGGCAGAAGGGACTCACCGTATTCCGCCGAGGTAGGCTGTCGTGGAACCATTGAGCACGCCAGAGAGGGAGGTGACGCTCAGCACCCAGTTCTCAGAGGTGTTCTCGTACCCGTCAAATGCCTGTGGAGAGATGACGCAATTTGTCAGTATTTGTGCGTGTGCATGCTGGTTAGGTGGGCAGACAATTTTTGGAATGTATATGGTGATTGTGCAGAGCAGATCGAATTTTGGCTATCCAAGTATAAATTTTCAACATCCATAAGCCTTGACGCTTACTCTTAAGCATTGAGTGCTGCTAGACGGACGACACTGCTCGACGATTTTTGGACAACGCTATGGATCCAGCCATGCATGGGTAGGAGTAATTGTCACACGGCCGTAGGATCACGCGTCATCTTAAAATTGGGCCAAGAGTGTCGGCCGCAAAGTACTTTCGTAAGCATTTGCATCATTGCGTGCATCGAGAGTTTATAAAGACAATATGCACGATGCACATATGTTGTCTTTAATTAGTTTTGACTTATGAACATGACATGATGGCAAACTGTCAAACTGAGCATAGCGTAGATGGTTAGGTTTCTTGTGGTGGAACCAGCCCATCAAGATTCAAGTCCTAAATTTCACACCGGTGCTCTCATTTTTCTAGATTATTTCGGACTTTTCGACGAAGCTTGTTTAGTGGGAGAAGATATTTCCGCCGACTACGAAGAAGTCTACAATAGCTTCGTTAATCTTAGATGTCATGCCAGCTGAGTATCTCAGAGATACTCATAGGGGTAAGGTGCATGCGTGCATTCATATGGGTGAATCCTAACAAACCCTAGCAACGTATATCGCATGACAACGTGTTTATTAGACTACATGTGCCGTCGCTCGAAAAAAAAGACTGCATGTATTGCTTGGCCTAGCTCCTCCCTTAATTGGGTAATTAATTACCGAACGATCCTATTCGTACGTATGAGTTCTATGAAATTTTTGACGAGAGATGCTACACCTACATAAAATACTTATGGGTTTTACATAACATTTGACGTGGAACTTTAGCATTGGATTGGTTAAGGGTGGAAGGGGCCCACCCTATGAAAATCAGGGGGTGAGAGAATTAGTGAGGGAAAGTTACCCATGATTAATCAGTTACGTTATCTCTTGTATGCCCAAAGCTAAACATAAGGTAGGCAGGTGGAGTAGACCAAGGTACAGATATGCTAAGTTGAATGTGGACGCTGGATTTGATATGGATACACTTGAAGGACCGGTGGGAGGAGTCCTTTGTGATCACCACGACACGCTCATTGCTGCTACAAACAAAAAAAAATAGACATATGCTTTGATTCAGTTACAGCAGAGTATGTGCGGTAAGATTTGGAATGAATCTAGTGCATACTGCTGGATGTAGCAAGATTGAAATCAACTCCGACAGTGTAGAGGTGGTGGAAGCTCTATAGGAGGGCAACTCTTCTTCAGTTGCTAGTGCTATATTCGATGATTGTTATTTCATGTCATTAGATTTCAATCATGTCATTTATGTACTGTAATAGAGAGAGAGGATACAGTAACTCCCCCCCCCCCCGGCCCTCACGTCGCCCCCCTGGGCGACTCGGGGGCGACTAGGGTTCCGCGGCCGCCGCCACCCCCCTCC